GGCATCCCTTGTTTGAAGGATGCTTTTTAAGCATTTGCAAATCAAAGCTGTTAGCATCGACTGAGAACAAATAGCTTTTCTCCTGGTTTTGGTTTGTTGTTTTTTTTTTCTTCTGATGCATGAAACAAATTTTTGGTTGGTTTGTTTTTCTCCTTTCTGAATATTGTAGGACCTTTTGAAATGCCTGGAATCCTGTCTGCTTCTCTCCATCCCTTTTTTGTCTCTCTCTCTCTGTGCCTGAACATTCTTCGCACACTTTAGCTGAGACCCCACTAGGAAGACATGTCTGAGTGGTTCTGCTCTCTCTGACAGGGCAGATGTGTCTACAGAGTTGCAGAAGGCAAAATTGTTGGGTCATTTGATTGTGCACTGTGAAATAAGGGTGATTAGAAAGGTCAGTCTTGTGGAAAGCTCATTTTCCATTGAAAAAATAATTAGTCATTAATAAATTCTTCACTTCTTTAGAATTAAGGACTCAAGAAATGGGGGTTTTTTAAACGTTTCGTGTTTCCTTATTTAACCTGCGGAAGTATTATACCTCTTAGTCCTGAGAAAAGCAAAAGGGAGTGAACGGAAAGTTTCTTATCAGATTGGACGTGCCCTGGTTCAGGTCAGGAATGTCCACCATCTATTTACGCAATAGCACTCACTGGTGAGACACGTGCACTCTCCTGTACGCAGTGTTGGCAGCTGGTGCTCAACAACCTGTTTATTTATGCACTTCTTCTGTACGCTGAATTGTTTTAGGCCCCAGCAAGCTCATTAGGTATATTGCCTAAATATTAGTTTGATTAAATACAACATGAATTTAGCTATAGGATGGAGCAATTAGTTCTTCACATATTTGTAGATCAATTTCATTTAATCAAGTGTGCCAGTCCGAATACGTATAATGTACTAATAACATACTATATGCTTCCGGCATTTTATAGCGACAGTAAAGTTCCTTTACAAACTGTATACAGAAAAAAGAAACTTAGCACCAACAGCCTCCAAGTTCATGGGGTCTTTAAGGATTCTGATACTACTCTTCCTTTTTGCTACTCTCTGAAAGATCTGGAATATCAATTCATGTAATGGATTACAATTCATGAAACCAAAACTAGCGGAAGAGATTTGAAACTTACTGAAACTTGCAGGGCTTTCGTACTAGCCTAGGGAAAAAAAAACCAAAACCAAACATTGCAGGCAGTTACCTTGGCCCAGTTTCATTGTCTGAAACAAAAGCTGAGAAAAGTACAAAACCAAGGGCGTTCCTCTGCAGATTTGTCCTCGTTCTCCCCAGCTCCGTACTCTTCTGGCAGCCTTCCCTGACATAGCTGCTCGTGCTCCCTGGGGCAGAGCAGAAGAGAGAATGGTTTGGAAGGGAGGGAGAAACAAGGAGGGGAGTCTTGTGCTATTCAGTAGCTCTCCTTCGGGGATTTAGAGAGGAAAGAGTTCTTTCTGTAGCTACCATAGCAGAAACTGGATCTTTGGCAACAGTAGTGCAGTGGGTTACAAAATTTCAGGGCTGGTCAGTCTAGACCAGGTTACAGCAGCTCTTGTGGGCTGCTGTCGTGCAGCACTTCACGTTGAGGTTTCATTTGACAGTACAGTCGCTCAGTGTAACTTGGGTGCTCTTCGCAATTTTGTGCATCAGCTGTGGATCATGTTCTGTGGCTGCAAGACCACAGCGGTCTGGGCTAGAACTGTACCTTCACGCTAATTAAACCAAGTGGACTTCTGAGGAAACTCAGAATTATTTTGTAGTTACGTAGGAACCCTCCTAGTATAGCATTATAAATAGTTTATGTCCTTGCTTCCTAAACAAAAGATAGGACCCTGAGATAGTGGAAGGACAGCAGGGCACATCTTTGCTATGGACTGTTGGTTACCTTTGCTTCAGCAAATCTCAGGCAGTTGTAGTGGCTGAAGCTTTACTGTTTCAGGGATGCTTGGGGTCACAGAGAAAATCAGTGGCAGAAGAGAGAATTGATGCTAGGTTTGAACGCCTTTATCTGTTGTGTTAGTCATAAAACTGTCTTTTCTCTGTTACATCTGATCTTTTCTAACCTTTCATGTGAGAAAAGCCTTGCAGGTTATCTGATAATGCGCCTGTGGTCTGGACAAGTTTCATAGAACCTGGGATACCTGCAACAATTTTCAGATTTTCTGTCTGTGAACGTTTAGATTTTTGTTCATGTTGTGTTTGTGTTTTCAGTGCCTCACAAGAAGCTAATGGAAGCTACGTAGAAGCAAAATTTAGACAGGCTGTAGATCAAACCGTGGAGCCATCACTGGGTCTGCAATTAGCATTTTGTGGGGCCTGGTACTTGCTGGGGTGTTCTGCAGAGGAGTGTCTGCTGTCCCAATGGATCCTAGTGCATGCCAAGGGCTATCGGAGAAGTAAAACTCTGCTTCCCAAGCACCGGTCAGAAATGCACAGCCACGCGCACACAGACATGTGAGAACCTGCCACTGACATTTTAAGTGGGATGGCAAATGTTGCTTGGAACATTTCTTCCATCTCTTTCTTCCATTTTTGCTTTCCGTTACTAATCCTAAACAGAGAGAGGTGAGTGTCCAGACAGGCTTTTCTGCAGTAGTGCTAAATGATCTGCATAAAATCCCTGTTTAGAAAGTAAAGCAGATTTCTTTTCAGCCAAGTTGGGTGGAGAAAGATACGACGTTCTGCTCTCATTTGGGGATTTCTGTTACAATTCCATACATTATTCCTAGCCTAAACTCATCCACCTTCTGTTCCCAACTTTTGAATCTTCTTGTATCTTTGCTCAAATAAAGTGCCTTTACTTGTATGTTCTATTAGGGCTAAACCGACCTGACTCATCCCTGTACGCTTCTTTTTTGAAGTTCCATTGACTGAGTTTCCCAAGTAACTTTTTTAAAAATTCTTCAGCCACGATTGTGATATTTCCTCGCATAGTCTTCCTCCTCAGCATCTTTTCTGAAGAGCTTTCCCACGTTAGTCATACCCATGCCAAAGCGTTCTTTCATTTCCAGCTCCTTTTATCCCTGTTTATACATGTGCCTTGGTCTTGCCAGAAGTGAAATGGTAACAGGCTGGCCCAGGATCCCGTGGGAATGCCCGAACCTTTTGATCTCCACTGGCACAGCGAACTGACTCCTGCACAGGAGCGCAGGAAGAAATTAGTTCCTTCCTTACTGTTTCTGTAAAGCAGCTTGCCCGAGTCCAATTCTGTGGGTAAACACGAAGCCGTTTGAAAACAGCCACGGCTGCACTGCCGGCCGAGGACCCAGAACCTTCGTCTGTGCCCCAGAGACAGAGGCTGTGATTGTCCCAACGTGTTGGCAGTTGTTGCAGTTGTTCTTGCAGCTCGCGGGGGTCGTGTGCAGTGGTTCACAGACAAGGTGTAGGCAAGGTATAAGGCTAGGGGTGTGGTCAGATAATTCCTGACCTTAAGGGGCTTATAGCTGATACTGACAGCTCTTGTAAAAGCTGGTGGGGAGAGGAAGAAAAGAGTTGGACTCTGGTTTGAATGGAATTTTCCGGAAGATGTCTTGTAGCACATGGGAAAATTCTGTCTGTCCCAGTATGAACTATTTTGTCTCGCTCCAGCTCTGGTGACTGAGAATAAGGTGTATTTTGGATGTACAATGAGGAACTATGGCCGTGTAATCCTGTCTGATGCTTTCCTTAGTGCACCTTTACTAGCCTGCCAGGGAGCTCATTCCCAGAAAGATGATGTAGATGAGAAGTTTGACACATCGTTAGCTTTTTCTCCAGGAGCTCGTATGAACAGGAACATGTTAATTATCGAATAATCTACGCAAGAACTGTGAATACATTAGAAGAGGGGAAATACATGACCTCCTCACTGCCTACATACATCAGAGGGTCATTTTAATTATGCAGCCTCCTGCAAGGTGCTGACAGGGGGCTGCTCTGTGGCATAAATGTTCTGCTGAGCATTCAGTGGACTTGTGATGCAAATGTCAGAGTTGGGTGCCTCAGAGTGACACTTGGATACAGCTAAATGCAGAAAGAAACTTTCCTGTTGGAGTGTGGATTCCTTAATACGTATCAGGGTCACCAAATGAACACCAGTTATCTGCCTCGTGCTAAGGATGTTCTGTCTCCTATTTTTAAGTAATAAAATGTGTGGCAGGGGGTAGGGCTCTCTGTCTGTGAGCCCTGGAAACGATCTCTCCACCTGTCAAAGTTAACCTACGTCGCGCTGAGGGGAGAGAAGTGGTTTGCTGGAAGTGTTTGAGGGTTGTGACAGCCAGAGTGAAAAATGCAATAGAAGTGAATAGAGTTGCATGTTAACTGAAAGAAGAAAAAAAAAACAAACCCCACACAAAATATTCCTACGGACAGTGACAGACATGCTGCTTCCTCAGAAGGCTACTTGGATTGTTGTCTGTACCTAAGCGAAAACGCTTCTAGAGCATTCACTGATGAGCTCAACTATCTCTGGGTGAGACACAAAAAGCTTACCCCTTCCTAGTTCTGGATGGCTGAGTCTTACCTAAGAAGTAGGAAAGGGTTTAACTCCTCCTTTCGTTTTTCACCACATAAGGAGCTAATCAATGCTAAGGCCCCCCAGGTATCACCCAGTGTTCTGTGTCCCGCCAGGGCAAGTCCCACTACAGAGTCTAGGCTTCGCTTGTCCTTGTGCCAGGCTGGCCGCGCCAAAGTCATTCTGGACCCTAGACACAGTCCTCATCTTGAGAAAGTGCTGGAGGGAAACAGAAGCCCTTCAGAGTTCCAGCTAGGTATATGCTACAGTAGAAGAGGTTTCTGTAGTTTGCTTTCCAGGCCTTTGGCAAGGGCCCCATTAGGTCCAAGTGAAGCTGTCTTTCCAGGGGAATTGTCCTGCATGTCTTTAGGATAAAGTACTGGTCGTAACACAAGGCTGCTAGGTGTACTTCCTGTAAGTCTCCCATACTTGCAACCTAAGCACAGCTAAATCTAAGCCATAACTAGCCCCAACTTGCCTTTTAACTACACTGCCTTCTTCTCTTTTTGGTCTCTAAAGCCAGCACTAGCCCTACATCAGGCCTTGGGACTGCTGCCATCATAGGCATTCTCATTGTTATCTTTGTGCTACTCCTGGTGGCTGTGGATGTCACCTGCTACTTCCTGAACAAGTGTGGCCTGCTGATGTGCATTGCTGTCAACTTATGCGGCAAATCTGGCCCAGGAGCCAAGGGCAAAGACATGGAGGAGGGCAAAGCCGCCTTCTCGTGAGTACTGTCATCACTTCATTGCTCCTTCTGTTGGTCAGCCTGTCCCCTCAGCAACCCCAGGAAATAAACTGTTTCAGGGAGTTCTGGGTTCCTCGTCTCTGGTGGGAGGGTGCTGAAAAGATCTGGGGGCCACGCTGGTTCTGCTTTATATTTCGAGGAAGGGGTTTCCTCAGCTATTTCTCTGGTTTCATCCTATTCCTGTCAGTAGCCATCAAACGGCTGGCCCAAATGCTGGACGTCACGGTGGTCTTCTGTGCTGTAGGTAATAACTGGAAAGGGAAGTGACGAAAAGAAGTAATCTGCTGTTTAGGCTAGTCTGTTTCTGTCGTTCACTATCGACATTTGCAGGATGTCTTTGCAGGAGGATACCTGGGAACCAATCTCCATGCGATTCCTTTGTTACAGGAAAGATGAGTCCAAGGAGCCTATCGTGGAGGTGCGGACTGAAGAGGAGCGGACCCCCAACCACGATGGGGGAAAACACACGGAGCCCAACGAGACCACCCCGCTGACGGAGCCAGAGTATGTTGGCATTAGTTGATCTTAGCACAGGATTAATACGTTGCCCTCAGTTGCCTTGATCCCTGGTCTCTCATGCCCATGGCTTAGGGCAGGAAGAGAGGAAGAAAGGTAAAATCTCCACATTCCATTTGCGATATGCCAAGTGAGGAAATGCCTCCTCTCTTCCTCAAGATTCAGTGACTCCTGTTTCCAGTACTGGAAGGGAAAGGGGAGTAAAGCAATGTCTCTGGAAAGACCTGTCTCTGCCAGTCCTGTCCAGTGTAGATCAGGCACCTGTCAAGGCTCACTGCAAAGGATCCAGAGCAAAAGCAGCCCCCAGCTAGCACTGACTCCTGCTTCAGCTCTGCCCCAGCAATGCTGGATGAGTGCTTGAATGCCCCGTGGTGGAAACAGACCTCTGTACTGGTATCAGCAGCAGAGTAGGTACGCTCCAGATGTCGGGGGAGGCATGGCAAGCCTGATGATTCTGTGAGAGGGCTGAGAGCTACCTATGAGCTTTGTTTATATGGGAGAACTTGTCTAGGGCCCGAGTCTGTGAACCCACGTTAGCTGGGATTGGCAAGGTTTAAGTATCACCCACTGTCTGCGTTGTGCTTTTTCCTAGACTGTTGCAGTTCTAGTGTCCGCTGAGTGAGCTATGGAGAAGTCTCTGTAGCTTCTGGAGTAGTAATGAGAGGAATTCACTTTAGGAAGCTGCTGAAATGCTTCTTAACATTTAGGTCAGGTTTGGGGTTGATGGCACAAGTTGGGTTCCTTTCCTTCAGCAGAGTCATCACAGTGGTGAGGTGGTCAGGCTCTTCCACCTGCATACTGCTCACCTCCTTTGAATGAGGGTAGCAGTGGGGCCCACTGGTAAAATGGCTCTGCTGGAAGTCTCTGTAAGGTGAGAGGAGAAAGGGCCTATGTCCACAAGCAGCACTGAAATGCAGATGGAGGAATAGCTGGCATTTATATCGTCCTCATTTCCTTGACAAGCCTTACCAGAGTTTTAACTCAGTTCTCCTCCTCTGTGAAGGTTTTCTGTCTGTTAATAAGTCTGAGGTGGTGTTCTCAGGCACGCTGGCTTCTCATGGAATAAAGCATTTGTTTTTTGAGCCTTGCATCCATGTACTTGTTGAGGCGAGCAGTGCTACATCGTGGCTGCTAAAGCGTAGTTACGCTGTCAGACATGGTCCTAAGGCAAACCTTATTCCAGCTAACATAACAGGCTGGAATCTGGTCAAAAGAGCGGAAAACATCACCTAAAAGACGCATGTATGCTTGCGTATGTGCACATGCATTACACATGTGTATGAGAGAAAGTTATGTTCTGTGTGATTTGATGAAGGCCTTAGACTTGCAGGCAGAAGGGCAGGGCCAAGATGAGAGACTGGATTCAGGGGTCCTACACTGGGACCTTGCTGCGTGGTGGCAGATGGCACAGGGCTGCAAGCTCAGAGAATTGTTATAAAGCTTCCTTGTGAGGTTAGGCGGAAGAGGCTGAGAGGAAAGTTAGGCTGAAAGGGAAGAGTCTCTGCAAGTTTGGCTAAGACTTGAACCAAAATCTGCGTGAACAAGCCATTCCTGAAGGTCGTGTCCTCTTTGCTCTCTTTCTCTTCCTAGTTATTCTTCAGTCATCCCAGCTGGCCCTTGCTGCCCTTTGCACGTTTGACCTCTGAAAGGTTTCTGCTCCTCTGAGTACCTCTCCGTGTTCTGTGTGTGTCGTAACCACGTGCCATGCTGCTCCTCCACCACCCACCTGCCTTCTCGCATCTCACGCTCTGCTCCCCTTTCCTCTGCTGTCATTTACAGGCTTCATTGTCTCTATTTCTCTTCTGCTCCTGTCCTCTTCGCAGGCACCCCGCCGATACTGCAGCCACTGTTGAGGACATGCTGCCTTCTGTAACTACGGGCACCACTAACTCTGACACTATCACTGAAACCTTTGCCACTGCTCAGAACAGCCCCACCAGCGAGACCACTACGCTGACCTCCAGTGCTGCCCTGCCAGCCACGGCCATTCCTGACTCAAACTCCATGTCGCCTGGCCAGGCTACTCCAGCCAAAGGGGCAGCCAGCTCAGTCTCTTCACCACCACCCTCCTCCACCCCCAAAGTGGCCCCCCTTGTCGATCTCAGCGATACCCCAAGCTCTACTCCAGCTACTAACAATTTGTCTTCAAGTGTCCTGTCCAACCAAGGTGCAGTGCTCAGCCCCAGCACTGTTGCTAACGTGGCCGAGACCTCCAAAGCGGCAGCTGGTAACAAGCCAGCTGCCCCAAGCCCTGGAAACCTTACTGGCCCTCCAGCTCCATCAGAGCCCAAGCAGGAGGCCTCGAGCACCAAGAGCCCTGAAAAGGAAGCCGTGCAGGCCAGTACAGTGAAGAGCCCAACAGAGACAACCAAGAACCCAAGCAATGTGAAGAGCGAGGCTGCTTCAGGCAGCACCACAAAGCCCTCCCAGAATGAGGACTTTAAAATGGACGAAGGGACCTTCAAGACACCAGACATTGATCTTGCAAAGGATGTTTTTGCAGCTCTTGGCACTACTACTCCTGCCAGTGTGACTAGCGGGCAAGCTCGTGAGCTTGCTTCTTCCACTGCAGACAGCTCTGTACCTGCTGCACCTGCAAAGACCGAGTATGGCTGCCTTTAATCTTCTGTTGGTTGTGTGCTATGTCTCTTGTGCGCTGGTGCTTGTGCTGTGTTCTTGTTGTGTGTTCTCCTAACTAATCTCATTGTTTCCTTAGCAAACTAACTCATCTGTGAACCAACTAAACAGGGCTTGGCTTTAAAGGTCCAGGAGCAAAGCAGAAACAGGCTGTGCCAGGGAAGCAGGGAAAAGACAAACCCGGGAATTTATCATAAATGCATTAACCTTTTAGACTCTTACGCAGCTTTGCCTATCGTAGGTTATTCTTTTGTGAAAGAGATCAGAAACAGATCAGTCTGGTGCAGAGGAAGTGCTGTCCTCAGCCCCGTAACTTCAATGTCCTAAACAGATCGGTGGAGCCCTTCAGAGCTTACTTCAGTGTAAGTGGGGCAGAAACTAGTGCCATGTGAAACTGTAGCTCTGGATTTGTCCCTGAACTGGCAAAAGGGTAAGGCAATGCGGTCCTGTCTGAGTGAGGGGGAGCAGCTCAGCCCAGGTGGGTCAGGATAACTTGGCAGCGTGTTGTCATGGTATATTAGAGGTGTGTGCCCCACACAGCTACGGAGCATCTGGCCCTTCCCGGAAAGCCTGGGTGGCACAGGAGATGCGCTGGGGTTGGCGGGTGCAGCCGAGCGACTCCCAAGCAGAGAAATGCGTGTTCACTTCAATGCACTGCACCTAAAGCCACTGCCCTGCCGTGCTGGGTGCTACAGAGAGACAAACAAGAGATTTGTCACCTGGTAGTGAGCTGAAAGGAGGCAGGAAAAGGTTTACCCGTAGTAAGGAAACATTTCTGCTGAATTAACGCAACTTGGTCTGTGTCAGATGAATGAATTCTTGGTATGGTGGCACGCAGAGCTGTGTTCTTTCTGCCGATCCAGCCACCTTCTACCTGAGCTGCTCATCGGCTTCCCTTGGCGCAAATCAGCGTTGCAACCATAGGCTTAGATTCCTTTCACCTGCTCGTCAGGGTGAATTAAGATTGCGGTCATCTCGGGCTAACTTGGTGGCTAATGGGCTGGAACGGGCGCTTCCTCGGGGAGGCCGCCAGATGCGCCTCATGTGGCACTGTTGGGGACTATGAAGAGAGCGTTGGACAAACAGGCTTCCCTGACTCTTCAGTAGAGTGCCAAAAGATGGGCTGATGAACCTGAGCTTTAGCCTGTGAAGATGTTCACCTCCCTTACGCTTGTGAAAATGTGCTTGACAAAATTCACTACTTCTGTGTTTCCCTTCCTGCAACATACTGGGGAATTCTGGGGCTGACTTCCTGTAGGGAAAAAGATTTTCAGCTAAAATTGCAGCCTGTGTTAATAGGACACTTGGGTGACGTGAATGAGTGATGGTAAAACCGAATTCCTCTGCAACTGTGTGTTTTCCCTTTTGCTCCTTTCTGCAACGCAACATGCCTCGTGCCTCTGCTGCAGCCCGAGACTGCGTCCTACTGGGGTGTTAGCTCAGGGCAGGAGGGAAATCAAAGAGATTTCACTAGAGCTAAATGAAGCTGGCGTGGGGGCGGGGGGCGGTGTAAGTTTGATTTTCCTTATTTCTGCACCTGGAAATGCTCGTTTCGCTCTAGCGAGGCGATACATTTGCTTGTTTCCAGGAACACACTTTCCTTCTCACTGATTCAGCAATAGACAGCCTATATTTCTCTGCCTCTAAACTGTGCCATTTTGGTGATTCTTCCTCAGGAAAATCCCAGTAGAAGACAAATCTGAAGTGCAGGCAACGGAAACCAAGACACCTCCAGCAGAAGTCAAGACGGTCCCCAATGAAGCCACACAAACAAATGAGAATGAGAGCAAGGCATGATCAGCGACAGATGAAAGCAAACGACAGAACAACTTCACCTAAGCATTTAAAACACGGAACACAACACACATCTCATTCCTCTAGTGTCTGTTGCCTTTTTTTTAAAAAAACAAACAAAACAGAAAATGCATAAATGGGGGGAGGGGGGGAATCTCTCTTTTTCTTTTCTTTTTTCTCTTTCCTTTTTCTTTTTTTTAAAGATTTCTAGAAAGGTTCTATTTGTTGTGCACTTGCTTTTAAAAAGTAATACATTTTAAAAACAGGGTTAAACCCGTGGCCAAATCAGGGCTTAGCTGACCCTGTGTAGGTTCAAGTAAGCAAAACTGCAAATACTCTTTGCAACGTGGTTGGGAAGCTCAAAATCAACTAGTCCTAGACAAAAAAAAAAAAAAAAAAAAAAAAGACCAAAAAAAAAAGACCCTGTTCTTTCCTTCGTTAGTATAGCAGATATAACCGCTGTACTACTTGGTACAGCTGGTACTTAATGAACAAAGTCCACAATTTATTTTTATACTTTTCAGTCGAGTTTGAAATATGTAAAGCCTCATAAATAAGTTATAATTTCTGTTCACCTTGTATTTGTTCAGTATGCAAAGCGTCTCGAGCTCTTTGTGACTGAATTCTGTTCTCCATGTTAGACATTTATTTGGGTTTTATTGTTATCTTTTTTTAGGAAGAATGCCAAAATTGCAGCTTCGGGGATGTATTTCAATTTGCAGTATTCAGACTCTACATTTCTTTAAATTTTATGTTAATTTTTGCCAACTTTGTTCTTTCCAGTGTTTACAATTGACAAATATTTTTTTTAACTTTTGTTGTGTTTAAAAGTATGTGTAAAATAGCTGCCTTTTTTTTTTTTTCAAGTAAATACAGTCTATAGATTCTAGGTTAGCAGCATGCTTGCTTTGCAAAGGGAGACATTTTAAAACATGGATGTTTACAGTAGTTGTTTCCCCTTTATCTTTTCTTAATTATTGTTGTTATTATTATTGTTATTATTATTATTATTATTTCTTACTGGAGTAAGAAGAAGAATGATGCTGGGGTTTGGTTTGGGTTTTTTTTGGGGGGGGGGGCAGGGGGGACCACTTGTCACCACTCGAGGTCTTTATCCAGCAATCCACATAAGCACGTGCTTAACTTGGAACGAGAGAGTTGCTGGTGAGAGTCCTTCTATACTTAAATTTCGTAAGAGTTTAAGTCCCTTGCTGGACGTGGGCCTGACTGCATAAGAGAAATATCACCTCTGCTATTTTAGGACATTCTCCCCTTTCCTTCGTGGAACCCTCCCGGAGCTTTGAGAAGCAGAAGGGAGATTGTACAGTTAGGGCTGGTCTGGTCTCATTTCAGAGGTTTGACTACATCGATTCCTCCTTAGTATGTCAGTAAATACCATTTCCTTTGACCCTGGAAAGCTGATTTAAAAGCAAGGACTGTTTGTACAAGGGTGCCTGGCAGCAGGCGCATCCGCCCCTGCAAAGCTGGCTCCGTCAGCAGTTGGACTCGATGATCGCTGTAGGTCCCTTCCGACTGATCTGTTCTGTTCTATCGTGTCACGTGTATTGAGTCATCCGTTATGCTCTGCAGAATCGAGCCCATGAAATCAAAAGCAAGTGCTTGGAAATAGGTGCCAAGACTCCCCGTAATGTCACTTGTCTTGGCGTTGTGTCTTTGACGGTCGGAAAAGGGGCCAGTGTAGTCCTTGTATTGTAACAGCGGAGGGGGAGCTTATCAAGGGCATTTATCACTGGGAGTCGCGGAGTAACAAGGAGATTTTGGGGTGAAAAGCGGAGGCTTGAGCGGAAGGAAGGCAGAGGTATATAGGGGAGGACCAGCCCATTGTATAGAGATGTTCCTTCTGTTGGGGTTTTGTTTGGTTTTTTTTTTTTCTCTCTTTTTTTCCTCTTGTTTTCTTTTTTTATTCTACTTTAGATCTGCAAGCTTGTGCACTGTGGGTGCGTGACTATTTTAGTGTGAAACGTGTTTTTTGTCATAGTATTGAAATAATAAAAGCTTCAACATAGTTTGGATGTGGAAGGTGTAGCGATAGTTCAGATTTGAAAAAAAAAAAAAAAAAAAAGGAAAAAAAAAAAAAGAGAACAACTCTTACAAGGAACAGAAGCCTTTAAATGAAAACTCAAACCGAGCTGACAATGGCATCCATTCCGTTGCGCTGAGGTGATGAAGAGAAGGATGATGGGGGGTGGGTAGGCTGCAGTTTGGCTCAGGTAAATCGAGCCGCTTCTATCAGTGTACTCTTCCAAGTATGCAGTCTTTTACAGTAGCATCACGTAATTTCAAACTGTGAAAAATAACGGTCTTGTTGCTTGCTAAGTGTGGGGGTTTCTGCATTTTTTTCCTTAGCTCCTGGGATGCAAATGGTGGATGACTGGATATCCAGGCATAGACACTCGGGCAGTACCCGTCCTAAGCAGGGTATCAGGGCAGGACGGGTCCTCCCTTCTGAGCCTTGTGTCAAATTTGGCCCTTGCATGACCCACCACAGCAGTGTCAGTATAACTGCAGGGGAGTTTGGCCCACAGTCCCTAGGAATTCTTTTCGAAGGAATCCATCTGTAAAATGCAGCACAAAAAGCTACCGTGGTGTGTCTTGTGTTTGGGGAGAGTCCTTGGGCCAGCAGAGGACTAGTGGGTAGGCAGTGAGTACCTCCAGTCCTGTGGATGACCACGACCATTTGTTCCTCATTTCTGCAATGTTTTTGATTGCTTTTGTCATCTGTATGTTACACCTCCTAAGTTACAACCCACTGAGAGCTGAGCAGCTGATAGGAAGCAAATGCTGCCCAATGCTAATGACCAGAAACATGTCCTATTGGGTGAAAGTGGTGGCAGCTATCACCCGGATTGGCATTTCTGTCGTAAAAGGTAACCAGCTCAGAGCCCGATCCAACACCCAGCGGCATCGTTAGAAAGTACCCTGCTGACCGCAGTGGGTTTGTGTCGAGATCGATGGAGGGAGCGCCATCCTAAGGCAGAAGGGAGCCCTGTGATTGCCTGAACGCTGGGAGCGTCCGTCCCGCTCCTTTTTAACGCCCTCGCGACACCTCCCCGTACTCGCAGGTTCATTCTGGAGAGTGGTTTTATACTCGCCTTTGATGGAAAATAGTTGGTTTTCATTTAGAAGTACCCCGTTTCCAAGATAGCTTAAGCTTCATTGCTTTTATTTAAACCTTTGAAGAGGGACCAACCTGATGCCGTTTATGCTGTATATGTTTATATATGTATCCATGCCATACATATATATCTATATGGCAATGCAGACTGATCAGCTTCTAGTTGTGGAGTGATTACATTTCATGCTGCACCATACGTAAAGATGATAATAGTGCATCCAGTTGTTCAGCTTTTAGAGTGGAGTTTTATTTTCACACTTTTCTATGGAGCCTTCAAACCCCAGATTTTCACACTAGGCTGTTTTGATAGTTGTTCTCAGACCCTCCATTGACATCCTTACCCAGCATTCCCTACTTTTGGGGGCCTTCTATCTTGTTAAAAAAACAAAAAAACAAAAAATCTTTTTACCAAGTGAAACATCGATTCCACCTTTATTCCCATTCTCACTGGTGTAAATACTGATACTAACTGAGGATTTTGACTTTGCATTCTGTCAGAATACTGTGTTCAAATAAAAATTACAAAAAAAAAACCTCATGCCTACAGTCTGCCCTTCTTTAGACGCTCTGCTAGGTCCTGTGTCCAGACGTGGATTCCCAGGGTGGTATTTGCACGGAAGCTTAACCTGGAGTGAGCAGTCCCCTTGCGGCATGCCCCTTGCCTGAGGCTCTGGGCCAGAGACAGCAGGAACTGCAGCCGTCTGCACAGGGGTGTTAGTGAAGCAGTCGTGCTGCATGGTTCAAGCTGGGGCATCTCTGAAGAGTGGCACGGGCTACCGTAGCGCCTTTCCAAACCTGGGATGCGCAGAAAGAACGCTT